CTATGCCCCACCCAGGAAAAAGTGTAGCAAGAAAGGTTAAGCTTTAATCAATAGAAAAAGGCACCACGATCCTAACCCCTTCAATGTTGTTGGGGGTATATAGGGCTAAGAGAACACGCCGTCTCTGCGGCCTTCACCACCCCATAACAGTTTTAACTCTCAGGGGCCCTTATTGCCTAACAACAACACAATACCACTGTTTTTAAATTTTTTTTTTTTTTTCCCAACAAGTGGGCTGTCTCCACCCAGGCAGGGTGACCCCAAAAAAAAAAGAAAAAACCCCCAAAAAGAAATCTTTCACACATTTTAAAACTTTTCACCACCCTCTCACAAATCAGTTTTTTTAGGGGCTAGAAAAAACAGTTTAGAAGCTATACGTATAAAGATACACAACATATCCCCCAAACTGCAAAACCAAACCCCTCCCTTTAAAGTGCAGGCATTGACTTCCCCTTTCCAGGAATCAAGCCGACAATGAAAATAAACCCGGGTTTCCCCCGAATCCCTTTATAAATATTACGTGCTCACACTCCAAAAGATCGTCAGGTCCCCGTACCATTTGTCTCCATTCCTCCTATCTAACCGCTAGGCACGCTTGCGGAATCCAAAACCCCCTTTCCCCCAAAACCTCCCTTTTTCCCCCTCCCCAACCCTTTTGAGGACGATCCCACCTCGCCTTTCCCCCCCATAGATTTTTTAGTTTCCATGTCATTCTATTTGATCCCTTCTCTTAAATGACCAAACCACCTCAACAACCCCTCTTTTGCCTCTGACTAATACTTTTTTAACCCACACCTTTCCTATTTCCCACCCGAATTTCTGCATAATATTTAACCCCACATCGCCCTTAGCAGGGCATTCCACTGCTTCCAACCGTTTCCCGCTGCGCATTTTCCACCCAAGCTTTACACCATATAAGAGTGTTGGGACTACTAACTTTCATACATTCCCTTTTTTCCTCCATAGATAACGTTTTTGATCCAAATATACCTCAATGCCCCCTCACCTTTTTTCCTCATCAATTTATGATTTAACCCCCCTTCTAAATCCCTCCGCCGACCGTCAACTCCAAGTAACTGAAAAAATTTTCTTCTTCCATACTACTCCTCCCCAATTTTATATCCAATTTTTTCTTTTCTAAATCATTTTATACCCTCATACTTACTCTTTTCTATGTTCACTTTCAACTTTCTACCTTTACACACATTCCAAACTCATCCACTAACATTTGCAATTTTTCTTTTGAATCCCCTAAGCAAGTAAATCAGAAAAGTAACTGGTTTAAATTCCCCTTTTTGAAATTTTATTTCCCCCTAATTTAAACCCACCCCTCTCCCAAAAACCCAGATTTACTTCTTTTACACCCCATCTAAAATATATTAAACAACCATGGTGACATTAGACTCCCTGTCTAAGACCTACTTTTACCGGGAAGTAGTCTCCCTCTCTTCTACATACTCTAACCTGAGCCTCCTATCCTCATAAAAACTCTTTACAGCATTAGTAACTTACCACCTATTCCATATACTTGCAACATCTGCCACATTGCTCCCCTATCCACTCTATCATATGCTTTTTCTAAATCCATATATGAAATTTAAAAACTTCCCTACCTTTATCTAAATACTGTTCACATATATGCTTCAATGTAAACACTTGATCTACACATCCCCTACCCATCTGAAACCTCCTTGCTCATCCGCAATCCTACATTCTGTCTTACCTCTAATTCTTTCAATTATAACCCTACCATACACTTTTCCTGGTATACTCAGTAAACTTACTCCTCTATAATTTTTACAGTCTCTTTTGTCCCCTTTCCCTTTATATAAAGGGACTATACATGCTCTCCGCCAATCCCTAGGTACCTTCCCCTCTTTCATACATTTATTAACCCTTTCAGGGTCCAAGGCCAAAATCTGAAGTCATGCACCAGTGTCCAAGAATTTTCCAAAAAAAAATTTATTTTTTCTTATGAAGTGGTAGAGAATCTTTTTGTGAAGGTAATAAAACAAAAAGTACGAAATTTGATGGAAAATTGACGAAATTATGCTCTCGCGAATTTTGATCTGTCAGCGATATTTACGAATCGGCGATTTTGCCGACTTTGACTTCCATTTTAGGCCAATTACATCATTCCAATCGACCAAATTCTTAGTTATTTTACTAGTATTACTTCTATTCTATCGATTGAGCACAAAAAATTTCCCCAAAGTCAACTGTTTCAACTAAAAAAATAAAGTGATCGGAAATTGGAAATTTTGGGCCCAAATTTAACACAAAGTTCAAATTTTCCCAAATTTCAAAATAGCATCCAAAATTTAAACAATGTAGGCATTCTTGGCACTAAAAGTAACTTTTCCTCGGTTCATTATTTAAACATTTTGAGGCTTTACAAATAAATCCCTTTTTTATTTTTTATTTACATAAATGAATTTTTATTCACCCCAAAAAATAGAAGATTTACTGTTATGCAATATTGTAATAATTGTATAAATTCATCACCACATTTGGAATGTGTATTAGATCCACCAGCGGGCATGTATTAGACGTGTGAGGTCGTTTGTTTACTCTTGAACATCGACAAAAATTTAACTTTTCCCGCTACTTTGAGCTCAGTTTCAACCCATTTCCGGTGCTAAAACCAATCAAAATCATCTCTATTTCTGTAATATGTCTCCATTCTATCAATGGGGACCAAGAATTGCAAATACAACTATAAAAAACATACGAAAAAAAACACTGCAAAGTTGCTGTTTTAATCGAAAATCTTGGTTTCAGTTTTTTTTTCTCTCATACACAGTGTGCTGCAGGATTTGTTTTATGTGGTGCACACATACCACATAGATGTATTCTCTCATATCTAGGCCCAAGTGTACCACTCACAGTTTATCAGAGTGAGCTGAGCTCATGACGTAGATCTACGGTTTGGACACTGAACGCAAAGCCGTAGATCTACGGGACGGACTCTGAAAGGGTTAAACAAAAGTACCAACCACTCCAACACTATATCCCCCCCTGCTTTTAACATTTCTGTCATGATCCCATCAGTTCCGCTGCTTTACCCCCTTTCATTCTACGTAATGCCTCGCGTACCTCCCCCACACTTACATTCTGCTCTTCTTCACTCCTAAAAGATGGTATACCTCCCTGACCAGTGCATGAAATTACCGCCTCCTTTTCTTCCTCAACATTTAAAAGTTCCTCAAAATATTCTCGCCATCTACCTAATACCTCCCTCTCCCCATCTACTAACTCCCCTACTCTGTTTTTAACTGGCAAATCCATACTTTCCCTAGGCTTTCTTAACTTGTTATTAATATTGTTATTATATTAATAACGAGTGGTTGTTATTGTTATTACTGTTATTAATATTGTTTATTATGTCATGTTAGATCAATTGCGATAGATAAATAAGCGATAGAGTTGATATTAGTGTCATATTGAAGGACTGTCTTGTCCTGCCTCCTAACAAACTGCCACCGCCACAATACCTAACATACATAATGACATATTTTAAATATGATTGGGCAGCTGAGCATTCGCGAATGTTCGAAGCCTGCGAAAGTGGAACTCACAAATGTGGAGGGAGACCTGTATTTGACTCTTCTTTGAGATGGAAGAGAATTGGCATATTTAACCCTTTGAGGGTCGACAGGCCCTATCCAAAACTCGTTCTCAGGGTCGGCCAAATTTAAAAAAAAAAAAAATATTTTCTCTTATGAAAAGATAGAGAATCTTTTCCCGATCATAAAGACACCAAAAGTTTGAAATTTGATAGAAAACTTACGGAATTATGCTCTTGCAAAGTTAGCGGTCTCGGCGATGTTTACGCATCGGCGATTTTGCCACTTGAGCCCCATTTTCGCCAATTTCACTGTACTAGTCGACAAAAAACATGAATATTTCGCTAGTACTCATTTTTTTCTATCGAATGGGTGCAAGAAAACCACCCATTTATGAAATTCAACTATCCAGTACAGTGGTCAGAATTAGCAATTTTGCCAATTTCACACAAATTTCAAAAGATGCCAATTTCCGAATAGGGTCCAGAATAAAACAAGAAAGACATTCCTGGCACTAAAATGACACTTCCTCTAGTCATTAGTCACGTCTCAAGCCCCTCTTATTATTCTTTTGCTTTCCACTTTGAATTTTTATTCTCACAAAAAATATAAGATTTACTGTTATGCAGACTACTGCATTAGTGTAAAAAATGGTATAAATATTATTGGTGCACTTGTGAAAGAATATTAGACTCACCAGTTGACGTGTATTGCACGCTTGGCACGATTTGTTTACTTTTGAAGTTTGGTAAAAAATCGAACATTTCTGCTACTTTGAGCTCAATTTCAAGGCACCTTTCATTGTAAAACCAGTCAAAATCATCTCAATTTCTGTAATATGTCTTCCATTCTATAAAATGAGACCAAGAAACTAGAATACAACAATAAATACCATACGAAAATACACTGCAAAGTCGCTGATTTATTCCAAAAAAATGGTCAAAGTTTTTTTTTCTCATTATGCACTGTGTGCTGCAGGATTTTTTTTAGACTGTGCACACTGACCACATAGACCCATTCTTTCATATGAAGGCCTACCAGCTTTCTCCCACTAGATTTGAGGCCTCTAGAATTTATGCGTACTAGTACGTCAAAAACCCCTACGCGTAAGACGTACTAGTACGACCAAAACCCTCAAAGGGTTAAAGGAAATTCAGTTTTGGCTTATGTTCTTTGCCTTCTACTTTTTAAACCCAAGTATTGCATGTGTGTCTTACTCATCAACTTGTCAGTACTATTTTATACCATTTTTCTACAAATTAGCCAGATATAGAAACTTTTTTTTACACCTTTCAAGAAAATCCTTAAAACAATTTGGATGTACCAACCTTGATTCCATGCATGAGCCTGTATGTGGTCACCCTACTGCAGTGGGAAATGGCCGATGTGTCAGAAAATATATTAAGAAAACAAATATTGTGTTTTTCCCAACAGGTGTTAATTTTTCACACTATCCCAGTGGCAGTCATCTGATGGTTGTGGAACCTAATCCTCATTTCGTAAAATATTACAATGACAATAGGAAGAAATTCCCAAACATTCGTTCTGAGGAGATCCTGATAACTACAGGTAAGACAGAAATTAATGTCAATACTTGTAGCACAGAGAAGATAAAACACAATTTGATGTTTATATGCAAGTTATCATTGATGGTTTATATAAAACACTAGTTTTCAGTTACTTTTTCTTTATTAAGCATGTTAGTAATTTTTTTTGTAGAACTAGCAGCTACCACAGTAATGTAAAGTGAAGTTAATGCTGTTTGGGAGAATGTGTAGAAGGTAGACAAAAAAATACGTGAGAATAGCAAGATGTGTTTGTAAAGTAATAATACAATGTAATGAAAATGGCATTCAAGAAAAGTATGTGGAATACAAAAATGTAAGTACAGTGGTACCTCGAATTTCAGCTAAAATTTGTTCCAGAAGGCTGTTCGAGTGCCATTACCGAACAAATTTGTTCCCATAAGGAATAATGTAAATTAGATTAGTCTGTTTCAGACCCCCAAAAATACACTTAGAAAAATACACTTACATAATTGTTTGAGTTGGGAGCTATTTGAAATTCGAGGTACTGCTGTATGTGAGGGAACTAATAGGGACAAGGAAAAGAAATAAAGTAAAAAAAAATAGTGGCTAGTGGAATATAGCATGAAGATTCTAATATAATTTTGAGCACCCAGTTCAATAAGAAAGTGAAAATAGGGAGAATTTGCAGAGTAATTGCAGGTTGTTTGACAAAGAAGGTATAGGACAGTTTCATATAGTGGGCATTTTTATAGCAAACTTGTAAGCCCAGTTCATGTAAAATGGTACATTGTCACAACTTTCTTCCTCTGCGTGTTAAAATTTTAGCAGTTCTAATTGCGTACCTAATGTTCTAGTCACTTCCACTCAGTGACTGTCTGTTAATGGTTTCCAGGAATCATCGCCCTGCAACCCAGTCAGTTGCCAGGTCTCATAAATTCTGAAGGAAATATTACAGGAATATGAACTGTTAGAAACTGGAAGAGCAAAGACACTTGTAAAATTTACTTTGCTATCTTACATCCTCACGAGTAAAAAAATGTTTGACACACTTTCATTTCACACATATCTGGAAGAACTTTAGTGCCTTCCTGTATTGCACTGAATGATAGAAACCATCTAGGAAAGTCAGAAACAGATAAAGTTAAACTGATGATTTTAAGAATAGATGTGTGTAAATGTGATGGGGAAAAATAAATTCAACAGATATACTTATTTTTCTGTACATAATTGAAGTAACATTTTGGAGTATGTGTAATGGGCATTGAGGTACAGTACTTTAGAAGTTCTGAGGTACATCAGTGAAAGATGATCTGAAAAGCATAAATAAAGAGTAATGCAAATACAGTGGAACCTTGATACTCAGACTTAATTTGTTCCAGAAGGCTGTTTGAGTGCTGATGTGTTTGAGTACTGAACGAATTTTCCCCATGAGGAATAATAATAAATAATTTTTCGTCTCTATCATGGCTCAAACCAATTTTCTTTTTGGTTGGCTGTTTACAGCGAAGTTCAGTGGAGTTTTCCACTGAGCGACAGCTGCAGAGACTGATGCACATTGTTTGGTCAAGTGCTGAGCAAATAGTCAACCACTGAGCTATTTTTTTTACTGAAAGCGTTTGAATACCAATTTGTTCGAGTTGAAAGCTGTTTGAGTACTGAGGTACTACTGTATGCTTGTCTGTTGGAAAA